GAAAGCTATCAGACATACTGTACCAACTGATCTGGACAATTTCGGAAAGCAATTAAAAAAGCAAAGAGACTTTCAGGAAATATATTTCAAAGAGCAGACTTTAATTCTAGAAAGCTTGTTATCTAGTTATCTAGCTAAATCTAGCTTCTTACAACTATGTAGTGCACCAGGAAGAGCCTTTTTTAGAATATACTTTTTTTGACTCCACGTTGCAAAAATACACATAATGTCCACCATTTTCTAACTGCTTCTCCCAGTTGAGGGCCATAGGGGAGCTGGTATCTATCCCAGCAAACAATGGGCACAAGGCACTCCACACCCTGGATGGGATGTCGGTCCATCACAGGGCAGAAACACAGACATGCACGCACAGTACTCACACCAGGGCTAATTTCCCAGAAGCGAATTCACCTCTCAACATGTCTTTGGAATGTGGGAGACATTTTGAGTACGCGGAGGAAACCCATGCAAACAGGGAGTGAACATACAAACTCCATGCAGAGAGCGATCCCAGCTCTGGGACTGAAGGACAGGCTCTGGCTCCTCTGTGACCCTGCATTGACAGATGCAGCTAGAAAATGGATGGATGGCCTGTGGGGGCCAGGGACTAACTGCCCAACAAGGACACCTGGCGTGGCTCGGTGGTCTAGGGGTATGATTCTCGCTTTGGGCGCAAATTGGGTTCAAATCATCGACAAGCCTTTGAGTGCAGTTTTGGGCGGAGCGGTGGCTCTGTGGCTAAGGCTTTGCGCTGGTGGCTGGAAGGTTGCGGGTTCGTATCCCACGGCCGGCAGAGGAATCCTACTCCGTTCGGGCCCCTGAGCAAGGCCCTTAACCCCAACTGCTCCAGAGGTGCCGTATAAATGGCTGACTCTGTGCTCTGACCCCCCAGCTTCTCTCCCTGTCTGTGTGTCTCATGTTGGGGTATGCGAGAAGACAAGTTCCTAATACAAGAAATTGTACATGTATATGGCCAATAAAGTGATCTTAACTCTTGCTTCTTTCATTAAATGGGCAGATGAAAATATCAGACCAGTTACCTACTAGCAACCCAGCATTTGTTAAAAATGCAAAATCTTAGGTTTAAGTGAGAATCTGAAATTAAATTAAATTCTATCCACAAACTATATTTATTCCAATGCTTAAGGCAATCTTTAAGTGTGAGTTCCTCGTTTTGCTTTCCACACAAACATTATTTATAGTTTTTTTGTATTTTTTGGTAATCATACAGTATTTCTACCCTACATAGTCGATGCTTAACATTCATGTGTGTTAAAGACAGCACTGATTGAATAAATGTGCATTTACGGTGTTATCACAATACTAAACACTGAAATCATTTGGGGAATTGGCTCTACAGCCCAGATGACGGACAAAAAAATGTGACATTTTGATGAATGTTTGCCGGGGAACAGGAAACACTTCCTTCTGTGATGGCTAAAGAAGTAATGACTTTTGTTTAGAGACAAAAAAGCTGTTTATCTTTACAAATTAAGCTTAATCTCCCTAATGAATGTAAACCTGTTTTGACTCTTCTCTTTATTTGGATTATTGGGTTTTCAGCTGATTAATGGACTCAGGTATACATAATCATTGACTTTCTTTTAGATTGTTACCATTTCTTACAATTACCTTGGGAGAAGCCTGTTTTCAGTATGTTTTCTCTTCATTCTTTGCCAGACCCACTTTGTGGTTAATTTCACAGTTCCTGAATTTGTAGTTGCAATTCTTTTGGATTTAGGGCATACATACTGTAGTAGCATTGTTAGCAAACAGCAAGTAATTTAAAATGGTTTTAATCTGTCTTTCATAGTGTCTGTGAAGCAGTTATAGGGATATTGGATCTCTGTGCTTATCATCTACTGTGCTTTCTGAAAGCTGATTTTATTACAGTCTATGTGTAATTGTTTTATAAGGTAAGATCACTTTATTGGCCATATACAATTTCCTTGTATTAGGAATTTGTCTTTTCACATACCACAACTTGCTCTCCATGAGAGAGGCAGACAGGGAGAGAAGCTTGGGGTCAGAGTACAGAGTCGGCCATTTATACAGCACCCCTGGAGCAGTTGGGGTCAAGGGCCTTGCTCAGGGGCCCAACAGAGTAGGATTCCTCTGCCAGCTGCAGGATACAAACCGGCAACCTTCAGCCACCAGCGCAGAGCCTTAGCCACAGAGCCACCACACCACCCTTAGTACTTATTACTCTTGAGGTAATGCTTTGTGTACCTTTGGCTCTGGCCCAAAACCTCCCCGAATTCAGTCATCAAAATTCCAATATGCTGATGGCACACAATTTGTGCCTTGACAAAAATGGATCTCCAGAAAACTTTCTACAAATTTCTCAGATTTACTGAGGCATATCAGAAAGTGGGACTTAGACTTAACACTTAGACAAACCAAAGTTCTCCATCAACAAATTCGATACAAACACACGTCCCACTGCCATCGATTCAGGGCCACAATGAGAATCCAAAGAATGTAGAGCACTTCCAATAGCTTGGGAGTTATCTTTCACAGGGGCCCGATATTCACCAAATAAAACCTGCATTGCCTGAAATGTCAGCATCAGCACTAAACCTGAACTGTGCAGTCATCAATCCAACTCTAACACACGAGGTTGAAAAAAAATGGACAACAGAAGAGAAACAATTAAAACGACTGGAATCTTATCAGCGACACCGCCTGCAGAAAATTTTGTATAGCACGTGAAAGGAGAGATGCTCCAGCATCAGGCATCACAAACACTGAAGCTCAGGACAATCTGCAATCAGCTCTGTTGAGTTGGTCATGTTGATTTCAGCTTCCCCCAGAAGACTCTCTTCCCCCAGCCAAGACAAATGTCAAAGTAATGGAATGGAACTCTGTCTTTTTTTTAACATGTTTAAACTGGCATTTCTATATGTTTCATGATAGCTTATAGGCTTATAGTCTGTTGTGCATGCTTTTTTTAAATCTGATTTGTTCGTCTTACAGATGGTAAGCATTGCTGCCCCACAGCACTGGGTTCAGTTCCTGGGGTGCTATCTATGTGAAATTTGTGTGTTCTCCCTGTTTTTGTGTGGGTTTCCTCTGGGTGCTCCAGTTTCCTCCCATGGTCCAAAAACCTACTGGTATGTTAATTGGTTTCTGGAAAAATTGTGCCTGGTGTGAATGTGTGTGTGTCTGTGCCTCCAGTATGTAGCCCTCTAATGGACTGGTGTCCTGTCCAGGGTGTACCCTGCCTTAGGTCCATTGCTTGCCCCCATGCCCCTGAAGTAACACTTTTTACAAAGAGTGCTTTATAAAATGAAGTTGATAACTATCTCTTGTAGTGGACTTCAAGATGGTAGTCCTTGGTGGTTTGATTAGATCTCCTGGCTGTGGACTGCAGATGTAGCACCTTGCAGTAAGAGTAACGACCAGTCTTCAGCATTACAAGACTTCGGCTTCTGAGATGCAAAAGAGCTCACTGCAGGTCAGCAACCACAATGGAGAGTGAAAGGTTAACACACAGCTAGCTGACAGACCCAGTAATCCATAAGCATCACTCTACACAGCTGGGGTGGTTACACAGACATAAACCAAACAGCCTCCATAACACATTCTGTACGCAATCTGATGTTGGAAACAGAAGGACGGGGGAATAAAAATCGCAATAATAATTAAACCACATAAAAAAAAACACCAGTTCCAGGGTCCATTGGAACATATTTGCACATGGCCTCGATTTCTTGGCTGCTACATCAGGACTGCACACTGTGCTGTTAACTTCAGTCCACTAGCAGACTCACAACAAAATAACAGATATGGGTCTTTGCATTCTTCATCTTCTTCTGCATAATTGTTTTAAAACAAGCAATGGAGCGAGCAACCAAATGTATTTAAATACTCAATCAATCCACTTTGTATAGCATTGGGATACTCTGTGTCTGTGCTGCAGAATGCTTTTGCCCAGGTTTCATCCCACTGGAGAATTGTTTTTAAATTTGGCAGTAGCGTGCGGGTTGGGAAGGGGGGGTGCAGATTGTCAGGATGCAGAGGAATTGCTGTGGGTCGAGGAGCCAGATGCTCTCATGGGTGCCTTATTGGTTGAATATGTACAGCTTAGGAAACTCTGAGAAGGAGATGGCTTTGTTTCATGACACAAGGTGCAGCACGTACCGTAGTGCCATTCTTGCTGAGGAATGTCTCTACTGAACCTCCAAATGCCCTGTTAGTTCAATAACAGGAGAAACGGCAATTGTTGTGCTTAACTGTGTGCTGAATGGGCAATGTGAGAAATGAGAGGCAAATAAGAGTGTGTTGTCATCTTTGCATCACTGCTTAAGACCTTACAAATGAAGTTTGGTTTGCCATAACAGTGACATTCAATTTGGTTAAACCTGATAATATTAGAATGTGAAAAAATGTCCAGATCCCTCAGCTTTGCAGCAGACAGTGTGTTTCGGCAGGTCTTCCTTGGTTTACTCCATTGTCAATATAGTGATGCTCATTATCTTCAAATTGTTTGAGTGCTTCAAACAAAGGTCACAGTAAGTAACTGGGACCCGTTTTAATCCAAACTGTCATTCCTAATCAGATTAGAATTAAATGCTGTCGCCTCATTCACACTAAAGGTGGAACGACTTTAAAACACTACAGGTATGACTTGTTGCTTAATGACAGCACCAGAAGTACACTCCACTTTGCTGTTCAGTGTACATTTGGCTTGTTGCATTAAGAAGCGGAGCTACTGTAGGTGGCAGCTCTGTTACACGAATCAGACTCTTCACCTTCGTTCGGTTTCCAGAGGCGAAATGTCCCTTGAACAGCTGGGCTGAGAGGCAAAGGATGCTGGGCATTGAAGTCCAGATCCCCTTGGGTCCATAGCGACCAAGGACTCGGTCACTCAGTTGAAGGAAACTACAATTCCCACCGTTCATGAAAGACTAGAAACGAGAAAAAAAATGAAAGAAAACTACGGAGTCCCGGATGCTGTTGACAAGCAGCACGTCTAGTGGAAGGTAAGCTCAGGCAAAACAGCAGTGGTGGGCAGATACCTAGCTAGTCGGAATTGCGGAGAGTGTAACGTTGCTTGTCGTCTTTTCTCTTTATTGTAATTCGTTAGGGCAGCATTAGAATTTAAGATAATCGTGCACTTGGAACAATATTCCACTGTCGCTTGCTGTTGTCTTTTGCTGTTCTTTTTGTATTTTTGTTTTTGTTAATGTAATAGCGAGACCGAGGTTTGGTCAAATGTAGTGGCAGCTTGAGGGGATACTAGCGAAGGGGAAGGGAGAGAGAGAGGCAGAGAGGGAGGAGGGGGGGGGGAGAGAGAGAGAGAGGTATGTCCACCCGCGGACTGTGATGTGAAAATGCTGTCTGTAAAGGTTGCCAGTGCTGCCGAGAGCTCGATGAATCAGCCGATAAAGGGAAAAGAGGAAATTCAGCAAAATATCGCCACAGCAACTGTAGAAGAAGACGACGATACGAATTCGGTGCAACCCGGTGAGTGGTGCATCTCTTCTGCCTGTGTACATAACGAATATTTGCATAGTTTTCAATTGGAGCCAGATGGGGTGGCGTGTATTTCATGAGCAGTAGTATTTTGTAGGAATTTTAACCTCGTCGCTGCCATTCATAGATTATGAAACTCATGCAGTAACACGCCGTGCAAATACGTCTGCATTCTAAGGTTGGTCTGCGTTTCGTTTTCTTATTTCTGATCGATTTTCACGAAGGACATCGATTCATCTCCAAATTTAAGAGCGATTTGTGCATGTCCCAGGGCTTTGTAATTTTTTTTGCACGTTTTTGACTAATACAACGAAACGTACTGTAGATTTTGCCTTCTCGTTATTTCACTCTTTAACAGTCAAGGGAAAACGAGGAAAAATGTTGGTAGAAACAACATTAGTCGAATTTTGCGGACCCCCAACCAGATGTCTATTGAATTATGTAATTTCCGAATTAAAAAAACTGTTGCATTGATCGTGGCAAATCTGTGTTAACGGTAATAGAGAAAAATAATATATATATATTAGGTTTATTTACAACCTTTCGGAATCTTTCAGATCTGTGTATTTTACCTTAATATTACTAGTTACGACGATCAGACATTGATGATCTAACGACAAACAATCGAAATTAAACGATCTGATGTTTTTTCGGTCAGCTCCGTTTGAGTGACAGCTGTCGGAGATGGCATTTGTCCACTAGTTGGCGAAGTAATTATACCAGTGCGTTTAAAATGTCACACTTGTTTAGTGTAACCTAGTCTCATCTTTGGCAGCACAGGGACGGCAGTGGCAGTCACGCTCGGAGAAGGCATGTCTCTGTTGTGACAGGTCTGTGTTATTCATAACTACAGAGCGCGTAATACCGAGCGCGTCCGGCACGCTTTGCGGAAAGCATGGTGTTCAACAGCACAGTTGTTATGACGACGTAATTATTTTCATAAACAATTCGCTTGCTGCAGACAAAGGGTATACTGGTCAGTGCTTACTGTGCATTAACGCAGCCGTGTGCATGATATAAACGTAAATACACAGTGAAAATAACCGGCATCACCGTGGGAACGCAAAGCTGTGGATTAGTATTTGCCTAGAGCGTCTATCTGTCCATTTTAATACGGATATTTTGGTATACATAAAGGGGACTCGTGTGCAGGTGTTACTAGTTAGCACCGTAAGAGCAAGAGAGTGTGACACTGTAGTTTGGTTTGAGAGAGATGAACCGGATTTCCCCCTCGGTTTGACTAGATGGTTTGGAGCTCACATTTTCAACAGCGTCATCATGCAGGAGTGGAACTGAGCCATTCCTTGGTGTTCCATTTGTACAAGAGTGGCTCCGATTAAGCGAGCTAATGAAGAACCCATCTGTCGCGGGGACTCGTTTGGTTCACTGATTCAGTCATTTGTGCAATAAGAAATCAAAATTTGTAGGGTTGTTCACTGTTGGGAGTTCATTGGTGGCAGAATTCAGATTCTGAGAGCGACTTCGAAGTGACTCAACTGGTGCAAGACACTGAACATCAGGATTCGCCTGAGAGATTTCAGTGCCTTCAGTAAGGTTCTCCAGCTAGCACTGTGGGATCTCAGTGTGACAAGATGACGTGACAGTGAGTGTTCTCCAGGGTTTGGCCAATTGATCTTCATCTCAGCTGTTTTAGCACAAGGGTTGTGCTGTAGCATCGAGTGGAGATGACTCAGAACTGGCAGTCCCAAATTGGAAGAACAATTAATTGCCTGTTTTATTTTGTCTGTTGTTTGTTGTTGTTCAATGAGAAAAACTCCAGGCCTGTTGTATTGAATTTGTTCCATATGCCATTGAGAGTCTGCCTGTTGCTGGGTTGTTTGTCACTGAGCACAGCTGAATTGGCGGAAATGAGGTGGAGGAAGCTTATTGATGGTGCACATGGATCAAGTGCAGCAGGCGTTTCTTGCAGGGTGAAGACTATCATGGGACATTTCCTTCCCCAGCACAGCCAGCTTTGTGGAAAAAACAAAACACAAGCACAAACTGTTTCAGAGGCTAGAATGGCCCTAGAACTGCTGTCTGTTCAGGGTCTGTTTCTGAATAGTTCACTTAATTGGTCCTTATTACCACTGTTTCTGGGTCTTTTATCATTGAGGGTTGTACGTTACTTTATAGAAGCTTGTGGACTTTCCAGGGCCTGGAGTGAATATCACTGTGGTAAGGGATTACTCTAGTTCTCTGATATTAAAATGCTCTCTGTAAAAATATTTCTGTTCTAGGAAAGTTGATGTTGATCTTGCTTGAGCTTGGGCGCAAGGTTTAAGCGAACAAGTGCTGTAGGAGAGTAGGCTGTGTGAGATGATTCATGGTCTAGTAAATGTGAGGTTCTGAATGTCATGCCTGATAAGGATTGCAAATCAGGAGTCCAGCTGGGACTCTTACCATGCCCTTTGTACATACTTTAAAGGAGTACTTGACATTGTTGGCAGTTTTATTTATTACTCCTTCTATAAAAAACATTTAATGGGGTTTCTCAATATTTTGTTTTCTGTTTTGATTTAAAAAAAAACTTAACTCTTCCAGCAGAAAAAAATAAATGTGTTCTCTGATCAAGCCTGTCATGCGTGGTGTCATGTCAACCAAACGTGCAATCATTCAGCTGACGCTCAGAAGCTGTTTGGCATAGATGGCGCTTTATTGTAGTAAATAGAAATGCAAGCGGAAACAGCAGGCTATCACTTTTAGTACATGCTGCAATTTATTGAACAAGCAGGGAATTGGATAACAGTGTGAACTGCTTTTTTAATGTTGAATAAATATCCTCGGTGCTTAAATAAATGATGAGAATAAAATATTCTGAAACATTATCCTCAAAGCACTTTGTTGTAATCTTGGTCCATTAACCTGGAACTTTAAGTAACAAATGGTAGTGTTTTACGAAATGAAATATATCAGTAGAACATAATTTAATTTAATTTAATAAAAAAAACGAGTACTTCTGATTTACTGTAGAAATGTTTGACTTTTATCAGCAAGTCATTGATGCATTGTTTCAGGGATTGCTGACACATTTTTGCCTATTGAAAGTATGCACTCTAACTGCTGCACGACAATGTTGTGAGATAGAATTATTTTATACAGTGGATCTGACAGACCGAGTATTAATGCTGCTGTCTAGCTCTAAACAAAGAAGAGTTTAATGCAAGTTGATTATTATATAGTAGATTCACTGGCCAAAACACGAAATAGAATTCATTCACAAAGATTATGATTCATGAAGCTTTCTGTCTTGAGCTGGTAAATAGTGCATTCACAGTTTCAGTACGTAATATTTCCATTGGTAAATGAACAGAATGAATTGCACTACACAGAGCTTGCTGCCTAGACGTTGCTACATAGACTGCAACGAACTTGTGGGCACATGCTTGCTGTACATACACAAGAAGTCACAGATACTGCATATGTAACGTAACCACACAAAGCAACCAGATGTATGAAGCTCTGTCGCTACAGTGTAACACACCCCTCACAAACTGGTTCAAGGAACAGAACCTGTTGGAACTGTAAGATTATTAATTGTTTCGTTTTTGAATTGCACAGCTGGTCAATTTAGAACTGGCATCTGCTTCGTTAAGTTTTGGCCCATAGCAATGACTCCTGTACTGCTTCAGGAGAATGAGCACGGTAGATGTGCTCCACCGATGCAGCCATCAATGGAGCCTTTTATCTTTTGACGTGTTTCAAGCTTCACAGTGCCCAAATAGAGAGTGTGCACCTACTGGAGGAGAAGGACGTTCCCCTGTTCATGTGACACAAGCATGTTGCCCACCAAGAAGTTGCACGAGTTGCTGTTTCACAAGGAGAGTGTCTTAGTAGTCCCTGTACCCGGCAGTGCTCTCACAGCTATGTGCCTCCGCTTGGGAAATCCCACTTCACAGTTTGCTAGTGACTAGACCCAGGATCGACATCTGGGCCATGGATCTCGACGGGAAAGTGCCGTTAATGGTTGAGCCGCTTGGCAACCAAGATTTAAAAATCGCCATTTTTTTCTAATCTTCATCACCCTGAGGCTCTGCTGCATCCACATCCCCACTACTAACAATGAAGAGGCGGAGATGCAGTACGAGTCCTGCACATACTTGTCTGGACACATGCTTCTTTATGCACACCTTTTCTCTATTTCACCTTTTCTGTGGCCTGAAATCTGCATGAGACTCAATCTCTCTTCCAGATGGGTGTCTTTGCTGGTTGGGCTACTGACGAATCCGTGCATGAGATCTTTTAACGAGCTTGAGTTGTGCATTTAGCGTTGGTTTAACTTGTAAAAAAGGTTAGTGCATTACTATTAAACTTTTACCAGATATTTTCCCTTTCATTCATGTTTCAGCATCCCAGGATCTGAATTAAATTAGAGGAAATCTGGGCTCGGCAGTTGGGTGTCATTCTTGTTCTTGAGTAAGATGGCACAGTTTCACATTACCCCCCCCCAAAATTAGGCATGTGTTAATCCAGATGTTAATGTTAGTAAAGAAGGTGGAGCCTCATCTTCAGTAGGGCCACATTCACCGATTTAACAGCTTATTATGCTTCTATAGGCTCACTCTCTGGAAGGCATGAGTCAAGGTTAAGGTTGTAGGAATAAAAAAAAACTGTTTTATGAGGAGTTAGCATACTGGTGGTCTAGCTGAAATAGATCTGTTTTTTCAGCAATGCATGCATGCACTTTTTCACTGCTCCTGCAGACTCTGTGTAAGGGATACCACATGAGCATGTAGAAATAATCCTTCTTCCACATCCATATACACATAAAGCTAGCAGTAATTTTCCCAGGATATCAAGTAGACCCACACATCTGCTGTAGTTTCTGATGCGGAACCAGCCTGCAGGAACAGTGGTGCTTTTTATTGTTTCCGCTGAGTTTTTTTTTCCTCCTGTGTGCTGCAGAAGTGAAAATAGGCTATTAAAAAGCTTGGTAGCTTAGAAAAGTATCTTGACATGCCATGGGTTTTGGAATGGATTTATTGACATGC